TTTTTACTTTTCAGTGCAATTGAAAGCACCCTACTTTTGCCAACACTTGAAGCAAAATTACTTTTATTCTTTCATGGTTCCAGGTTGATGTGCTCTCATAGTCTTTTTCTCCCTGACTTTCTTTGGCATATTCTCCGATATTGAGTAGGAAATTTCTGGATGCAAGACCCTAGAGATGATCAACTTAAAGCCTAGAATACTCACCCACCTCCCAAATTGGGGATGGTGGTGCTGGTGGTGGGTACTATGGGAACAGAGAAGGTCATGTGGGAACTCTCTGCCTGAGGTAAGGTCCTACCTGGTCTCTACCCTGCCATTTCTAGAACAAGGCTGTTCCAGCAGCCAGGTCTGAGGACAGTGGATCACACAGCAGAGAACAAAGCACAAAGGAGAAAGAAGTAGACTCACTGTCCACAGACTCCATAGGGAAGAGTTTCAGCAGGGTTTGGAAGTATTCAGCTTCTCCTAAGTCAGAAATTTTATGTTAGCTGTTTTCTAAATCAGTTATTGTAGTTATTTGATAAAGTCGGAATCCCAAACATTGACAACTATATGAAATGCTTCTAAAGATGATTCGATATTCTAATCTGATCATTATTAGGTAAAACTTTCTGATAATTTTATTACACATTCTCCTTCCTTAATTCCTTCAAAATGTTTAGTGACTTGCTTATCATAAAAAGCCGACAAAAAAAGTTGTATTTTTGGAGAAAATGCACTATCAATGATGCAAACTTCATTTATTGCCTGTATAATAACATTTATAATGTTTTTCATTATAGGATAAATTTAGGATCTTTATAGAGCTATCACACAAACCTTCATAAAACACATGGATTCTTTTAACCCAGTAGCTACTCTCAAATTTAACAGCCATCTGAAGGAATAAATAACTTGCAGGTAATAGCTATACAACTGCTAAACAATTGGGTGGCACGCAAATAATTCATGTCAGAGATTTTATTGTTTTAGAAAACTAAAGCATACAGGTATATTGTTTTTATACCTCATGCTCATTAAATCCCATGAATGACATACTTGATTTTTCAGTCCTAGTCCCATTCGCTTATCTCAAACTTAAATAAGTGCTTGCCATACTGTCTAATTATAGCAACTCTCACATGAATGACTACTTTTCATAGTTTCTACCTAACAACAACAACAACAACCCCACCATATATCTATATATATTTAGGACTTTTCAAAGCCTTAAGGTAGGGCAAGGAAATTGGCTAGCTGGCCAATGAATGGGAATGTCACTTTTTATTAAATGCCTATTACGAAAATAATGAGTATTATTATGACGTTGTGCTAACTACTCTCCATGCATTAGGTTGTATTTTTTCCCTCATTCCACAGCTGAAGAAACTGAGTGT